TTTTGAATTTTCGTTTTCCCGACATACCGTTTTTTGATTTTTTTCGTTTTCATTTTTTGACTTCTGTTTTTCAATTTTTCGATTTTTAAAATTTTTGTTTCTTCATTGTTTCGGTTGTTCGGTTTCAAAATACTTGGATTTTTTGAAAAATATTTGGTTATTTGCTTTAAATATACATATTTCATATTGTCCCCACTTGTACCGAAAAATTGAAAATTGAAAAACTGGAAAATCAAAAAAACGAGAAATCGAGAAATCAAAAATTCTAAAATTTAAAAAATCGAAAAACTGAAAAATCGAGACATCGAAAAATAGCAAAACTGAAATGGTGAGAAATTAAGAAAACGAAAAATTGAAATTTCAAAACTATCGAAAAATTTAAACATCGTGTTCCAGAAACATGAAACGATCGAGAAATCGAAAAACCGAAAAATCAATAATAGGAATTTAAAAAAAATCGATATATACAAAATTTAGAAATCTGAAAAACCAAAAATACGAAAAATCGAAAAATCTATCGGTGTAGAAATTTTAATAGTTTATTAGTTTAATTTAATGTGTTTGACTTGTGTATTTGACTTGTGTAAAACTGTATTTGTAGTTTTTAACACCAATAAAGTATTGATTGATTGATCTAAAAATCGAAGAATCGAAAACTTGAAAAATCGAGAAAATGAAAAATTCCACAAATCTCAAAAATTCGAGAAATCAAACGAAGCCGAAAATAAAAATTAAAGTGAAAAACTGAAAAATTTTAAATCTAAAAATATTGATATCTATATCGGAATAAGGAAAAACTAGAAAATTGAAAAATCGAGCAATCAGAAAAACTAAAAAAAAATTTAAAATCGAAAAATTGAGGAATCGGAAAATTGAAAAATGGAAAAATTGAAATATTCCAAAACTTGTATACCGAAAAATTGGGAAATCGAAAAATTTAAATCTTGAAACATCGAAAAATTGAAAAATTGAGAAACCGATAAATCGAAAAATAGAAACATCGAAAAATCGAAATAGTCCAAAAGCGAAAAATTGAAATTTAAAAAATTGACAAATTTTAAAGTCAAAAAAATCTATATATCAAAAAATTCAAAAACTGGAAAATCAAAAAGACAAACCGAGAAATCGAAAAATTTAAAGTTTAAAAAGTCGAAAAATTGAAAAATCTGGAGATTTTCAAAAGTGGAATGGCGAAAAATTAGGAAAACGAACAATTGAAACCTCGAAACACTGAAAAATAGAGAAATCGAAAAACCGGAAAGTCGAAAAATCAAAAATCGATATAACCTGGAATACCAAAAAAACGAATAATCGAAAATTTAAAAAACCTAAAAATCGAAAAACCGAATTGAAATTTTGAAACGCCCGAAAATCTGAAAATAGAAAAGTTGAAAAATCGAAAAACCGAAAAATCAAAAAATCGAAAACCGAGGAATCAAAAAATCGAAGCAATAACAAATCGAAACATGAAACGATCAAGAAATCGAAAAATCGAAAAATCGAGAATGCCCAAAAGCGAAAAATTAAAGTTTGAAAATTGAAAAATGTTAAGTCTAAAAGAATCGATATATCAGAAAATAGAAAAACTGGAAAATCAAAAAAAAAACGAGAAACCAAAAAAGTAAAAAAATAAATAAAAATCGGAAAATTGAAGAATCGAAAAATTGACAAATTCCAAAACTGAAAAGCCGAAAAATTGGCAAAAATTGAAATATCAAAACATCGAAAATTTGAAAAATCGAAAAACAGGGAAGTCGAAAAATTGAAACATCAAGAAATAAAAACATGAAACGATCGAGAAGTCGAAAAATCCAGAAGTCGAAAAATCAATAAATCTAAATTGCCTAAAAGTGAAAAATTTAAGTTTAAAAAATTTAAAAATTTTAAATCTAAAAAAATTGACACATCGAAAAATACAAAAACTGGAAAATCAAAAAGACGAAAAGTTGAAAAAAATACAATTTACAAAATCGTAAAATCGAAAAATATAAAATCTCAAAGTTGAAAAATCGAAAAACTGGTAAATCAATAAAAGGAAAAACCGAGAAATAGAAAAATACTAAGTTCGAATCGAAAAATTGAAAAATCGAAAAAATGAAAATCAGGAAAATCGAGAAATGGAAATATGAAACGATCGAGAAACCAAGAAGTCGAAAAGTCTAAAAATCAGAAAATCGAAATAGGCCAAAAACGAAAAATTAAAATTTGAAAAATTGAAAAGTCAAAAAATTGAAAATCGAATAATATTCTAAAACTTGAAATCTCGACAAATCGAGAAATAGAAAAATTAAAAAATAGGAAAACTGAAAAATCAATAAATTTAAAATCCGAAACATTTAAAAACAGAAAAATTGAAAACCGAAAAATAAAAAATTCTAAAATCGATACATTCCAAAACCGAAAAATTGAATACCCAAAAAATCTAAGACCGAGAAGTCTAAAAATCGGAAGATCGAGTAATCTAAACATTCAAGAATTGGAAAATTTATAATTTAAAAAGTCCAAAAATTTCGAAGGACTGTAAAACGAAAAATTGAGAAATAAAAGAATTAAAATATCGGAAGGAACCAAAAAATCTTAAGACGAAAAGTCGAACATTTGAAAAATCGGAAAACCGAAACAAAAAAATTGAAATCTCTGAAAGTTAAAAACTCGAAAAATTGAAACATTCCAAAAGTGAAATATCGGAAAATTGATAAATTGAAAGTTAAAAAAATGTAAAATCGATGAAAAATGTCAAAATCTAAAAATTGAACAATTCCAAAACTGAAACACTGAACAATTGGACAACCGAAAAGCTGAAAAATCGAGATATCAAAAAGTCCAAACATTGAAAATTTAAAAAATCTAAAAACTAACAAACAAAACCTGAAAAACAGGACAATTGAAAAATTAAAAATTGGAACAATTGAGGAAATGAAAGACTAAAAAATTGATAAATTGGGAAATAGAGACGTCAAGAATAGAAACAGAAAAGTCCAGAAATCCAGAAATATAAATATCACAAAATCCAAAAATCGAAAAGTTATGAAATCGAAAAATCGACTTATCGAGAAATCCAAAAATGGAATTAAAAATCGAAAATCTGAAAAACCATTAAATTCAAGAATCAAAAAATTGAAAAATTTCAAAACTGAAATATCGGAAAATTGAGTAATCGTGAAATTGAAAAATTTTAAAATCCTAACACTAAAATATATATCAAAAATTAAGGCATCGAAATTATACTTTTTTTGTAAAAATCTCGATTGTATTTAGGATAAAAAAAAATTGTTTCAAAAAACCAAAGAAAAATAATCTTGAAAAATTTAAACTTCCAAAAACTGAAATATCGGAAAATTGATAAATCGATGAATCAAAAATAAAAAAAATTGAAAAATTCAAGAAAAATCGAAAAGCGGCAAACTCGAGAAATCAAAAATTAAAACTTGGAAAAATTGTAGAATTGAAAGACTGAAAAATCGAAAAAGTGGGAAATAGAGACCTTAAAAATCGTAACATCGAAGAGCCGAGAAATCGAGAAGTAGTAACATCAAAAAATTCAAAAATCGAAGTCAGGAAATTGAACTGAAAAATTGAAAAATCCCAAAAGTCTAAAATCGAAAAATTGAGAAATCGAAAACTGAAAAGTCGAAAATTCGAAAATTAGAAAACGAAAAAATCAAAAATCTCTATCTAGGATAAAAAAAATAATTTAATAAAACAATAAACAAGCTTTTATAGCAATGTGAACTAACAAATAAAAATAATCTTGAAAAAATAACTTTAATGTAAAAAAAACGTGGGTGCTTGATATCAGTTGTCCCCACGCTTTTTTTTTAGTATTAAAGTTAATTTTTGAAAATTATTTTGTATTTTTTAGTTCATATTACTACAGAAGCGTGTTTAGTTTTTTTAAACAACACATTTTTTATTTAATGAAATAGTCCTCGCGTATCATTGGTTGCATACTTCCAATACATTGTTTTTCGTTAAATCTATCAAGAATACCAGATTATAATTATGAAATAATTGTATTGTGAACGGTTCTTAATACTTGTGCAATATTTTCAATCATTCCGACGTCTGGAAGTGGGTTAAAATTTAATTGAGAAGATTCCGTTACATTCATACATACATATAGGTATACAAGTAAATCGTGTAAAAATTCAACGCGGGTTCATAAACCACAAGTGGAGGAGTAAAATTTAAATAACATTTTGTTTAGCGTTTTGCAATCCACATGATATTCCTAACATACATGCAAAATTTGACAAAAATCGTTCTAGTAATTTCGGAAATTATCTGTCTTATACAAATCGACACAGACGGCGTAAACAAGATCTATATTTTTCGATATTCTAGGGATCATTAGCTTATACGTTCCGGAAGTAAAACTGATAAGAAACTTCCTCGAACTCACGTTTAAACCATTCCTTGAAATATACCCCGACATTCTACTTTATCTCGAGTGCATCAGTCAGTTTTTTAATATATGTAGTATTTTATAAAAGACAAACGCGACGTCTCGGCATTCCGACAAGTGCACATTTTTCCAACCGCCGACAAGAACCCGAAGCATCTGCATTCCCAGACAAAAAATCCTTGGCCGAACTGCCTGTGACAGCGCAGCGAAAAATTCAGAACATTACCAACAAAACCCCCGCAACTTCCTCCCTTACTTATTTATTGCCCCCAAAATCACTCCCAGCTCCTAGACCACAGGAACGCAGATTTCGCCCCGAAAAACGCGCCACCCCACCCCCTGTCGCGCTCCGCCCAGGTACACCCTAAACAGAATTAATTACGAGCAGAGGTTGGCAATCAACAGGTGTGGTTCTTTTAAGTGCGACATCGCGCTGAAATAATTTTAAATTAATAGCACCTCGGCGGACATAAATTCCGTTCCATGCCGACTCGCAAATTTAATTTAACAAGTCAGACGCGGAGGAATAAATTGGGGTGCTTATCTGTGTAGAGTACAAATTGTGGGTCGGTTTTGACGGTTCGCTTTGTTCTAGCGTGTAACCAGGTCCAGTTCGGGGTCCATGCCGTTTTCGGGCCGTCGGATCCCCTGCTGGGGGCGCACATACACTCTATTTGCGACGCCCTGGATATTCCGCACCTGGAGGCGAGGTTGGACCTCGACACGGATGTGCGGGAGTTCTCCATTAACTTACATCCGGCGCAACATCTGCTCAACACGGCCTTCCAGGATGTTATGGCGTTTCTGAATTGGACGAAAGTGGCCATCATCTACGAGGAGGACTATGGTGAGTGGGGTGGGACAAGAAATCTTTCTTTTTCTATTATTCTATTATTTTTCAACGTGAAATTTTACCTTTAAAATCCTTTATTTTCTTTTCCACTGAAAACAATTCTAAGAAAACTCCAACTGTATTTACCTGAATTGTGCCCACTTTGTGGCAACAATATTTATGAATAGCTGTTAATTTCAGCGTGAGCGTGCATACAACTGGCCTGATTTATCCCCTGTAACAAATTGCACTATCTCGGCGCCTCCGCCATCTTATACAAAAACGACTTGGCAGACTCAACCAATAGAATTAATTAGATAAGCAGAATAGACCATTAATATTTAGTCTAACCATAAAAAAACAAACTACTAGAACACACCACCAATCCCGCTGTGGCAGTTCAAAATGACTTTTTGCACTCGAAAGTCACACCGCTATAAACAACGGACCGACTTGTAAAAACTCGAACCGACTCCGGATCCTTTTGACATTTTATCTGCATACTTTAATTACTTACTTCAAGTGTAAACACGATCGTAGTTGTTTGTTTTGTTAAAGTTAGATCCCACTTTCTCGAAATTAATATTCGAAAAATTTTTGTAGCGGAGTAACTAATTTCATTAAAGAGCGTAACAAGTTTGTTATCAGGGTAAATCACCGGAGTAAATATCCTATTAAGCAGAGAAACATCCCTAATTACATGGCGGAATTAAATACTTCAACCCTTTCAACAAAATCGATGGTGGGAGGGTTGCGAGCTAACGCCGAATTTTACGCCTGCTGAGTCTCCATCAGGCAAGAAAAGACACGCCGAGAGTCAAGCCGACGAAAAAAATACTAGTTCCTATCGCACGGTGGCCCGATTCACTCCAAATTCAAAAACTCGTGTTTTTCCATAGCTGCGATTTTCCCGCTCCAACTACCCTGACCTACTTCCACCCATAAATCAACACTTCCCTTTCCATAAGGATAAAGCCCGGAAACTGTATTAGTTTCCACCGATAAGCGCTAGCCAAGAAAACTCCCTCTCGAAACACCCATTCCTCACTTTCCGATTTCTCCTCTCCATCCTGTATAATAAGTAACGAATCGAAAAAATCGCCAATTACCGTTCCGAATTCCCCAAATTCCAGGGCTCATAAAGCTGCGGGAACTCGTCCGGTCTCCGCACAACCACGACCTGGAAATCCACCTGCGTCAGGCGGATCCGGAGTCCTATCGAGCGGTCCTCAAGGAGATCAAGAGCAAGGAGATCCACAACATCGTCATCGACACGAAGCCCTCGAACATGCAGCACTTCCTCAAAGGGGTGAGTAGCGGCTAATTGGACGGTGGCGAAGTGGTTTATTGTGTGGGCAGATCCTGCAGCTGCAGATGAACGACTACAAGTACCACTATCTTTTCACCACGTTCGACATGGAGACGTTCGACCTGGAGGACTTCAAGTACAACTTCGTCAACATGACGGCGTTCCGGGTGGTGGACGTGGCGGACTTGGCGGTCCAGGAGGTGCTGAGGGACATGGCGAGGTTCCAGGCCAGCTTGGGTTCGGGGGTGCAGGCCAACGCGAGCTACATCCAGGTGAGTAAATCTTTAAGAGTTTCACTCTATTCACGATATTGAGGCATGAGGTAAAACAAAGTTCAAAAATAAAATTTATCAGATTTGCATGGAATTGAGTTTCTGGACTAACTCTGTACCGCAAAAGCCATTTCTGTCCTCAGTTTTCAAAAATTCCTTGTATTTTGGACCATATAGCATTTTTTTCGAATTCCTAAAGAGTTTCTCAAATTTGACGGGACATAACTCCAAATCGGTTTAAGATACAGCCTTCGAGTGTCGACAGTTCGATTCGTTGAAGCTTTCTGCTCTTGTCAGTAAATTTTCAAGACGTTTACTCTACCCGTTTTGTCTAGAGAGAAGGCTGGGTACGAAGGTGTCATTTTCCGAAAGAACATAAATATAGAGTTGAAGATTCAAAAATTAAAAAAAAAATCAGGATCTTTCGGAGACGTTTTTGAATCAGGATTCTTGTCCTGGAGGCCGAATTAGCGATCCAACTCATTAAAATAAAACAAAATAATTTAATCTGGTCGATTGGCTAAACTTGTCACGATATTGAAGCATGGCGTAAAATAAAATTCAAAAATGAAACTTATCAAATGTGCATGAAAGTTACTGGACTAATTCTGCACCGCAAAACTAATTTTTTTGTGTCCGCAGTTTTCGAATATTCTTTCGATTTCAAGCAATATCGCATATTTTTTTTTATTCAAAAAGTGTTTTTCAAATTTGACGGGATATAACTCCAAAACGGTTTAAGACACGGCCTTGCAGCTTAGACTATTCGATTTGCTGAAGCTTTTTATTGGTAGTGGTAAATCCTTAAGACGTTTGCTCGATCCGTTTGGTCTAGAAAAACAGATATCTGGGAAGGTGTCATTTTCCGAAAGAGTCGACCACTGAAAAATTAAGTAAAAATTCACGAATTTTCCGAAACATTTTTCGAGCCCCAATTTTTGTTGCAGAGATCCGAATTAGTAATGAAACTTATTTTTAGAAAAAACCCATTAAAGCAAAATAGTTTGATGTAATCCAAAAACTGAAATTGTCACGATATTGAGGCATGGTGTAAAATACGGTTCAAAAATGAAATTTATCAGATCTGCATGAAATTAAATTTCTAGCCTAATTCTGTACCGCAGAAACCATTTCTGTCCTCAATTCTCGAAAATTCCTTCGATTTCGAGCGAGGTGGGATTTTTTTCGAATTCAAAAAGCGTTTTTTAAATTTAAAAAAGCATAATTCCAAAACAGTTTAAGGCACGACCTTGCGATTCATACCGTTTGATTATTTGAGGTTTGTTAGTCACACTAGCAAATATTCAAAACGTTTCCTCTATCCATTTCGTCTACAGAGACCAGTTTGTAGGAAAGTGTCATTTACCGACAGGGTCCACCACTCAAAAATTCAGAAAAAAATCATTAGCTTTGGAAGACATTTTGTGAACACGGATTCTTGTTGCCGAGGTCATAATTAATGACAAAACCCATTTTCAGAAACGTAAAAGCTCAATAAAGCAAGAAGTCTATCGGTTGAAATTGTCACCATATTCAGGCATGGCGTAAATTAAAGTTAAAAAATTAAATTTATCAGATCTGCACGAAATTAAGTTTCTACACTAATTCTGCACCGCAGAAGCCATTTCTGTCCTCAGTGCTCAAAAATGTCTTCGAGTTCGAGCGATATCGCATTTTTTTCGAATTCAAAAAACGTTTTTTTAAATTTGACGGGACATAACTCCAAATCGGTTTAAGACACAGCCTTAGGGTTTAGACCATTCGATTCGCTGGAGCTTTTTAATGCCACTAGTAAATCTTCAAGACGTTCATTCTATCCGCTTTGTCTAGAGAGACAGATATATACGAAGGTGTCATTTTCCGAAAGAGCTGAACATTCAAAATTAAAAAAAAAAATCAGGAGCTCTCTGAGACGTTTTTTGAACTCGAATTCTTGTTGCGGAGGTTCGAATTAGTGCTACAATCCATTTTCAGCAATATTGTTCGGCTAAAATTGTCATGATATTGAGGCATGATGTTAAATAAGATTCAAAAATAAAATTTATCAGATCTATATGAAATTTAGTTTGTAGATTAATTCTGCCCTGTACAAAGCATTGGTGGCCTTAGTTCGTGAAAATTCATTCGATTGCGGGCAATATCACATTTTTTTCCTGATTCAAAAAGCGTTTTCCAAATTTGACGCTACATAACTTGAAAACGATTTAAAACACAACTTTACGATTCTAATCATTCGATTCGCTGAGATTTTGTAATTCTACTGGTAAATCGTCAAGACGTTTTCTCTATCCGTTTCGTCGAGAGAGATGGCTATGTAGTAACAAGTCATTTTCCGAAAAAGTCGACCACACAAAAATTAACAAAAAATTCAGGAGCCTTAGGAGACATTTTTTAAGCTCGGATTCTTATTGGCGAGGTCAGGATTAATCTTGACACAAGTTTTTAGAATCATAGAAGCCCAAAAAAGCAAGGTAATTTAATATAGTCAATCGGCTGAAATTGTCACGATATTGAGGCATGATGTAAAATAACATTCAAATTTCAATTTATCAGATCTGCATGAAATTAATTTCCTACCTCTAAACATTTCTTCGATTTCAGGCGATATCGCATTTTTTTTAACCAAATAGTGTTTTTCAAATCTGACGGAACATAACTCCAAAACGGCTTAAAACACAGCGTTGAGGTATTACTGAGAAATTTCTAAGACATTCATTATATCTGTTTCGTCTAGAGAGTCAGATATTTAGGAATGTGTCATTTTCCAAAAGAATCGACCACTCAAAAATTAAGAAAAAATTCAGGTGTCTTCAAAGACATTTTTTGAGCCCCGATTCCTGTTACGCAGGTCCAAATTAGTAATGAGACCCATTTTCCGAAACATGAAACCGCAATAAAGCAAGACAATTTAATATGATCGATTGACTAAAATTGTCACGATATTGAGGCGAAAATTCAACAATGAAATATATCAGATTTGCATGAAATTAGGTTTCTAGCTTAATTCTTGACACCAAAAACCAATTTTGTCGTCAGTTCTCGAAAATTCCTTCGATTTCGAGCGATATGTCGGGTTTTTTTTTCCAAAAAGCGTTTCTCAATTTTGACGAGATACGAGATATAACTCCAAAACAATTTAAAACACGTTCATGTGGTTTAGACCGCTCGATTCTTGAAGATTTTTACTCTTACTGGTAAATTTTCAAAACGTTCACTCTATCCCTTTCGTCTAACGAGAATGATATGTAGGAAAGTGTCATTTTCCGAAAAAGTCGGCCAGTCAAAAATTTAGAAAAAATTCAGAAGTTCGGAGACATTTTTTGAACCCGGATTCTTGTTACATAAGTCCGAATTAGTTAGGAAACTTGTTTTTAGGAACATGGAAACCCACTAAAATGAAATAATTTGATAAGGTCCAAAAGTTAAAATTTTCACGAGATTGAGGCATGGCGTAAAAAAAATTATATTCAACAATGAAACATCAGATTTCCATGAAATTAAGTTTCTAAACTAATTCCACATCACACAAATTTTCAAAATTTGACAGAACATAATTCCAAAACAGTTAAAGACACGCTGTGCGATTTAGACCGTTCGATTCGTTGGAGCTTTTGACTGGTAAATTTTAAAGACGTTTACTCTATCCGTTTCATCTAGAAAGACGGATATATAGAAATGTGTCATTTACCGAAAGAGTCGGCCACTTAAAAATTAGAAAAAAAAATCAGAAGCCTTCAGAGGCATTTTTTGAACTCGGATTCTCGACGCCGGGGTCCGAATTAGTAATGAAACCCATTTTCAGAAACATATAACCCGAACAAAACAAGATAATTTAATATGGTTAATCGGCTGAAATTGTCACGATATTGAAGCATGGTGTGAAATATGGTTCAAAAATCAAGTTTATAAACTAATTCTGCACCGCAGAAAGCATTTCTGTCCTAAATTTTCAAAAATTCCTTCGATTTTGAGCGATATCGCTGTTTTTCCGAATTCAAAAATCCCTTTCCAAATTTGGCGGGACATAACTTCAAAATGGTTTAAGACACAGCCTTGTGGTTTAGACCATTCGATTTGCTGAAGCTTTTTACTGTTAGTGGTAAATTCTTAAGACGCTTACTCTAGCCGTTGGGTCTAGAGACAAAGATATTTAGGAAGGTGCCATTTTTCGAAAGCGTCGACCACTCAAAAATTAAGTAAAAATTCAAGAGCTTTCTGAGATATTTTTTGAACCCGGATTCTTATTACGGAAATCCGAATTAGTAAGACAACCCATTTAAAGAATCAGTAAAGCTTCTCTTTTAGTTTTTTTTTTGTTAATTAATACATTTATTAGTTTTCTTTGTATAACACGATTACTTAAGAACGTATTTCACATGGTAATTTCTCGTAGAACAATAAGGATTTTTCAATTAAGCTCCGCCCCTCAGCTTAGGACGAATAAAAAAAATCATCAGAATTGAGATTGGGCGGGTGGGAGGGGCTTATATTTTGTCTTTTTGTTTTAATGTATGCAGACTTCTTTTCACAACAAGAAATTAAAAACATGTTTTTGAGGGTCGTGTTGTTCAAAGAATACCAGGTATATTAAGAAAAAAAGGCAAAATATAAACCTCGCCCACCCACCCTATCTCAATTGTGGTGATTTTTTTTTATTCTTAGAAACTTAAATATGGTTAAAATGGTAAATTTTTGTAAAGAAATATGGATTTTGCAATTAGCCTCCGCCCCTAGGTCTGGGGGTAACGAATGAAAAGTTCATTACTGTTCAGATCAGGGCAGGTATGGGTGGGGCTTATATCTTTTTCTTTAAGTTTTTTTAATGATAATCTGCATTGTATTCTTTGAAGAACACGATACTCAAAAACATGCTTTTTAATTTCTCGTCGAGAAATAAGGATTTTGCAGTTCAGCTCCGCCCCCTTGGTTCACGACGAATAAAAAATCATTACAATTCAGATGGGGCTGGTGGGCGGGGCTTATATTTTGTCTTTTTTTCT